AAAAAATAGATTTTTCATATGTTTTACTATGTGATCGACAAAAATTACGTAGACTTTTGTCCAGTGAGTGTACAGTACGTCTTTTAATAACATTCAGCAGTTGACGTTTACAACAATCTGGAGGTCTTACACCGATAAGGCAACATTACTAATGTTAAATTAGGCAAAGAGTTGCCTGATTCAATGCTGTAGTAAACTTAATAAGACGAAATTACAGCTTATTAAGAAGATGCTAAGTCGAAGATCATTAAATCACTACTTTTGTAGCAATAAGAACGCTCAGTAAGGATTAATGCCGTTTTCCCGAATTAAATGTGCTAAGCTAAAAAAAAATATGGATGTCTTATTCCGTAATAGTTGTTGTCAGTTAAACAGTAAAATATGGGGATAAAACAAATCTGTTACTGTGGCCCTTGACGATCTTGACCCCTGAAACTTTTGTGGCGCAATGTTTTCTGTAAACATTGAAGTGATCGCTGTAAGTAGTGATTGTGACTAATAAGAATGCGTCTTTGTTGGACCCCATCACAATTCACGAATCCCCCAATACCCAGAAATAATGTGGTGTCACTCCTTCTCATTCTTATTTGTACATTTGGCATACTCGCTTTCTGAATTTAGTCATTTGCTCTATCTAATCAATCTACACACAACGACCAATCTCTATATTTGAACAAATGCATCATCCTCATCAGATAATAATAGATATTAGATGCAGACATAGTGAAACCTAATGTAACATCATGGACTGTCGCGTTCTTTAGCAATCTGCAATTTAACAACACGGTATAATTGAACAGAGACGCAAGACGCATTGCCGGGTTTGCATTAGATAATAAGACGCAATATAATAACTCAGTGACTGTCTGGTAGAGTTGACTGAGTATCGTGTTAATGGTTTCGCCATTAGTATTCACGTTTAACCGTACATCCTTACCTCCTTTTCCTTTGCGACAATCTTCTGATTAAATTTTGTGGTTCTTGTTAAAACACAAAATGGTTACTGACATGGCGATTCCTAAGTGGAGCTGGAATGGTCAGGTCAAAAGAGCGTCTAAAGCAAGCTCTCAATGTACGGGGCCAATCAATATTCAGGTTGTGTTACCGAGTTTTCAAGCCATAATTAAAAATATAGGAAAAACAATTATGATCATCTTGAACGAATCTACATAAGTTTTTGTCTAATCAAGACATCAAATTCTGTCATTACCACATTCCTATTGTGTATGGAGCTGATGATGAACTATCTATACAATGTGTAAGATCTCCTAGCAGGGACCTGCGTTCAATTATAATTAGCAATGACGATTGAAACAAAAATTACAAAAACCCTGTGCAACCCAGTGAAATTGTTTGTGCAAATCCGATGGTATTCTTTTCCCTTGGATACAAACAAATTAAAGAACTAGTGAACTTGAAGAAAATCAAGCAACAGCTAGAAAGAAGACAAAAATCTCTCCGTTTGGGGACAGCAGCGATAGTGGCTGTATCGGTATGGTAAGCAAAAAGAAAACAGGAAACACTGGGGGCTGCATAAGCGTCACATGTTCACTGTCTGGTCTGTTGCAGCACGCCCTATTACGATTACTATATATTAGATGCATGTTGCCCATATTGTTTAATAATATAGTTATTACAGGTAATACGTGCAGCCTGTCCAACAAAGAATATCATTTTCATTAACAACGACAGTCCTAACAATTACTGCAAGCGTATGTAGGAATATCGGCCACCCCTTCAAAATATCCATATACGTTCAACTATTCTTGTACATGAATTGCCAGATACCTTTTATGAGGCTCACCCCCCCGCACTCATCTCACACACATCTTTTATACTTTCCCCCGCTGAATACCAGTAATAGTGTTACAATGTGATCGATATTATTAGTTAAGCACAAATGGGCAAGCCATAAGAATGCAGCAATGGTTAATTAACAGCATTCTGTTCATAATACTACAGGTTTGTCGTTATGTAAAGATTCGTACTGACCTCTCTGTGTTTGTCTTTCGAGTTTACATGTTCTCTTCGATATTCATGAATGCTATGCAAGCAAACATACGCCCAACAGCATAACCCGTCAGCGGTCAATCACTACTTGCAGAATACAATAAATATCGACAAGTATTGTCAGAAATACTCTTGGTATTTTATTTGCCCGTAATAACAAATAGGTTATAAAGCAAGCCATCCATTTCCCAGAATTTCTTCAACCACACAAATTTTGTCCTACTCTGGACCATCATTCACGGCCAAAGGAGAGGGTCCATATTGTTATCATCCCAAAAATAGGGGGAAAAAATTCCTGCTAGAAGGACCCGCCGGGAGAGGCAGAACAATTAGAGAGTAGAGATTTAACAAAAGCGTGTTTTATATCATAAACACTCACCGAATTATTTACACATAAACTATAATTAATCACAAAAGTCTCCATGCAAACTGCAATTATAGAATACTACCATCCATTCAAAACTGCAAGATAAAAATATACATACCCGGAGACGAGACAATAAAACAATAAAACATAACTCCCCTTTCCCCTCTATCTACAATCTTATATAATCCTACTTATATCTTCCGTAACTCTGTCAAATAGCAATCATACATAGCATCCAAGATCTCTGATTCCCTGTTTTCGCTTTCATTTCATATGGAAGACCGTCATCCATACATATCTCGCTCTCTTCCTGGAGAACATTCTACGCATCTTCCCGCCTCGCTCCCTTCCACCTCTATTTCCGTTTCTCCCTCTCTTTCCCCTTCACTCTCTCCTAATCCTGCCTTGGCCGTGCTCCCCATTCCAGTAGACGATTACTTCAAGGCAAGGAGAACACGTAGGAGTTTGTCAACCTCTTCGTCGTCACAGAGTTTATTGAAAAGAAGTTTATCGCCAAAACCACGAGCTCATTCAGGACTATATCCTCCTTCCGTATACCCTGGAACGCCTGAAAGCGATAATAATAGTCAGAGGTCGAGTTTCGAAGACTTTGATTATTCGACATCCGGAACTCCATTTAATTCTGTTTCATCGGGTAACAGTCCATTGACTAATACTCCGCCATACCTGCCACACCATCCTTCTTTTTCGCTTTCAAATAGAGAAAGGCATCATTCACTGTTTGTATTATCAGGAAAATTCACTCCCTTGCAACCAACACAACAGCAAGGAAGTTTGCAACAACAACAACAGCAACAACAACAGCAACAACAAGGAAATTTGCAACAACAGCAATCACAGCAACAGCAAAGTGTGCAACAGCAACAACAGCAACAGCAGCCTTCAACATTCACATCTACAACTCTTCAACCAAAGCCTTCATTACAACGTTCATCTAGTGCAAATAAATCACAACTGAAATATCTTCTTACTTTGAGACAGGAACAGTATGCGTCTTCAGTCTCAGATTCGGAAACTGATTCGGTAGAAACAGATTCAGATTTTTGCTATACAGATGAACTCGCACGCTCAGCCTCGTCTATTCGGAGACGAACATCCTTTCAATACAGTCCGATAAGATTTTTTCCGGATCTGGATCCCGACTCTCAGGAGAATCATGTTAGTCATCTGGCATTTATAGACGAACGCTCGCCCGAATTTACTCTCCCGAAAGTAAAACGAAAATTGCATAGAGATCTTGATGAGGCGAAATCGCGTGCCGACAGGTCTATCCAAAATATCCTCGATCGGTGGTACGAGACACAACAATATAAAGACCATTTATCTGAATTGGTATACGATGGATTAAGTGACGAGGAAGATAAACCCGAACCTCTTGTTATCAAGAGAAACCTTAGTCATCGAACATTAAGCAAGCTTAATGAGACGGCATTATTAGCAAGTGATACAGACGATGAAGCAGCATCAGGAAAATTAAGAAACAAGGGAGATGACAGGACATTATTGGGAGTGGGAATGGGAATGGGAAAGGATAATATTGAGAGCGTGTCATTACCAGGAGAGAGGTCAAAGCCGAGGGCTATTGTGAATAGGAAAAAGAACTCGGAAAGGAGAATGGTGCTCTCGAATAGCTGGCCGCCGTCCACATTAGGTGAGTGAACATTGAAGGGGTTAGTGAGCATTGTTTAAAAAAAAAAGGATGTAAGATTATTCAAGAATAGTTAATACAAAGCTCGGAATCGTTATAAAGTTCAATAGATACTTTGCACACAATTTACTTCGATCTGTTGTCTTACGTATACTTTTAATTTTATTTTCTGGTTTATAATATGTAGCCTCCTCGCATCAAAGACTTTTAGCGCGTATTGATCGAATTGCGAGAAGAATTCTTAAAACCTCAGTGCAACAACTTCTTGAGTCTGACGTAGCAGTAGAGATTATGAAAGAGTTGCAGGAGGTAATGGAAACACAGAGGAAAATGGCCGTGGGCAATGCAGAGGCCGAGGAACTATTAGCAAAATTAGTATACAACTTTGCGGATGTTACTAGAGCTGTTGAGGCCATGGTGAGTATCAGAGTTGAGAGTGAAAAGGTGGTACTTAGTGGAATGGTATATTTGATGAGGGAAAAGGAATAAGAGAAAGCATATTTAGTATGGTAACGAATGGTAATGGGCAAGCAGTTACGCCGCGAAACAGTGTGTGTGCGGTATGAATGGATGGAAAGATTAAAATAGGTACTTGGGTGATTATATTCGATGAGAAACGTATGGCTCATGACAAGTCAACGTCTTTACATCATTTGTTTGCGTATAATCACATATGGATTAAGAGTGATATTTTTTTCCCTACATTTCACACTAAGCCATATTGAATTTCTTGTTTATTGCCCCTCCCGTTATAAACATTCCTTTAGCATCAGTCATTCACCCCTGACTTGTCGGAGACAACTACGAGCGATGGCCCTACGGTAGGGCCTGAATGGTCCGTATTACACTCTCCGCTTCCATCTCCGTCCATTCCATTAACGCCTATAACGCCATCATCATACTCACTACCAATAAGTCCGAGACGCAATTCATCAGCGGAATCACCTGCATTCCTAGCAGCCCCCCCTCAAACATATTCATCTCCGTTGGCAAGGCACATGTCCATTCCCTCACCAATATCGGTGTCGTCACGACCATCAATGGAACAGAGAAGAGCTTCTGTAAATGAGGCGGTGTTTGAACTAACGGGGCCATTTACGTCTTCTCCACGTCCGAGCATTGATGAGAATATGATGACATGGAACAGTCAGATGAGAAAAGAAGTAGAACAAAAATTACATGAGGAGATGAATAGAGACATTGATTTGGAAATATTAAAAAAGCGCGCTATAGATGGTGATGGAGATCAGAAAAAGAAAGTGAAGAAGGTATAGTCTGGGGCGGGGAAGGGAGGATTTTTTTGTTATTTTTTCATGTGCTAATAAACCCGTTCAATTTTGTAACCAGACAAAGCCTGCTGTCATGAGCTTCTTGAAAAGTCTTAAAAATGCTTTTCACAGTCCAACAGCATCAAGCGGTAACAGTCCAGCCGGATCCCCAACGCGCTCAGCTACTCAGTTGTCGACAGTCCGATCCAATCATCTTACTCGTCCTCCTGAGAAAGTTCGTTCCCTTTCATTTGACTCGTCGACGTTTTCACTTTCTCGTAAATCATCAGCTGTCTCGCTAAAGGACAAGGAGAATCTTGCCGCCGGGAACAGTGCCTCTACACACGGATTTTCTGATGTCATTCTGTGCAGAATATGTGAAGAGATGATACCAAGTCACGAACTGGACGCACATAGCGAAACCTGCCGTGTCACTACAGAGTACGCATTTAAGCTGCACGAATGTGATGGAAAATTGGGAAAACTGGTGCAGGATGTGGTAAAGAGAAAAGCTGATATCTTGGCAGGGGTTCGTATGATATTCGTGTACAATGTATTGCTTTATACATTTTAATATTGATCTTTCCGTTGATTAACCTATTACCAACCAATCGGATGTTGCTTATTTAGGATAAACATGGCTCAGTCCAAGTCTATAATAGTGTAAAGGATGCCGAAGCAATGGAAAACATCGGATTAAAGTAAGAATTACGTCCTCTTCGTGTACTACACCCGGTTAATCAATATTTATAACTCGATCTCTTAACCTTGCGCAGAGCGAACAATATCAAGGAGACAGACAATCGAAGGGAAGCTCTCCGTAAATGCGAGAAATACTCCAGCAAGTTATCTCGTATTGTTGAGGAGATGGAAAAGAACCAAATCAGGGATGAACATCTTCTAACTTATGGGAAACGCTTACTGCACGTTGTAAGTAGTTTACCTAATGCTACTGACTATCTTATTTCATAATTGTATAATGAAGCATTGTTGACGCTTCTGTCTTATTCTATCCCTCCTTATAGGTCCAAGAGAAAAATGAATCTCTTCGTCTGTATTTTTCTAAACTTCGAACCACAAATGCACTATCCGGCGTGACATCGGCTGTAGTAGCTGTAATGGATAAAGATACCTCGACTCTACGTGCTCCAGCAAGAGACAAGCTCGGCCGCAAACAATCTATATCTAGCAGAATACTCTCGACGTCAGCACCACAGAGACCGATAACGATAAATCACCATTTCGCCAACCGAGAGTTTAATAATATGAACAAGGACAGTTTGGCAGCCCACAGGAGACAAGAGAGCGCTGGTTCGACAAAATCATATTACAATGAAGCTGCTGCAAGTGAGTATGGAACGAATATATGAGATTAATGGTAGATTATGTAGCACTTTTCACACCCAAGCATAAAACTTATTTACATATCCTTTATTTTATGCACCCAGTACCTGATGCTAGTCCGCCTGCGCCGAAAGGGGGCAAGAAGCTCATATCTCTTTTTGCTGCCATGCTCAGAGGCGGAAATGCCCGATCTCAGAGTACTTCAAGAGAAGGTAAAGACAATGTATCAGGGGACAAAAGCTCGAAAACACGGGTTCCCAGTATACAAGATTTTGAAATAATAAAACCGATAAGTAGAGGTGCATTCGGAAAAGTATATTTAGCTAAGAAGAACACAACAGGCGATTTGTATGCTATAAAAATATTAAAGAAGGTCGATATGGTACGGAAGAATATGGTCAACCACGTACTAGCCGAGCGAAGAGTCCTTTCGCTTTCGCGTACTCCATATATTGTGAAGCTATATTACGCATTTCAAAGTCAGGACTATTTATATCTAGTGATGGAATATCTAATTGGCGGAGATCTGTCGTCTCTGTTACAAGTATTGAGTACATTTGACGAAGACATGGCTCGTATATACACGGCAGAAGTAGTGCTTGCATTAGAATATTTACATACAAATGGAATAACGCACAGGGACCTCAAACCGGATAATATGCTCATTACAGCTGATGGACATATCAAGTTAACAGACTTTGGATTGTCGCGTATTACTCTACCTGAGAAAAATTCAATGTCGTTCACGTCGGATAATAAGCCTACGTCTTCGCAAAAGAAGAAATTGTCTGTTAGTAGATCGAAGAGTAGAGCGGATTCACGTGGATCAAATGCATCACAAAATCGACCAATATCAACAGTAGTTGCTAGCGAGAACCAGAGAAATACACAGGTAAACTTTGAACCTGATACTGATACGATCAACGACAAACAGCGGTCAGGCCTACAAAAACGAGCTCACAGGCAAAGCTCGAAAGCTCTTCTTGGCACTCCTGATTATTTAGCTCCTGAATTATTGTTGGGTATTGGGCATAGTAGTAAGGTGGATTGGTGGTCACTGGGAGTGTGTCTGTTTGAATTCATATGTGGATATCCTCCATTTATGGACGATACTCCTGAATCTATATTCAGGAATATTCTCAATCATAATATCCAATGGCCAGAAGACGATACAATTTCGCCAGATGCCAGGGATCTAATTACCAGGTTATTGAATCACGAACCTTCGGAGAGACCGTCTGCAGAGGAAGTAAAAGCACATCCGTTCTTTAAGGATATAGATTGGGAAAATATTCGGCATCAAAAAGCTCCGTTTGTGCCTAGACCAAATGACGATCAAGATACGAGTTATTTTGATGCAAGAAATCAACGTCCAGATATTCGCAGACTATCATCTGGAAATCTTGATGCAATAGCAAGCGGAATAATACCGAAAAGTGATAACAGGAAGTCAGTTGCGTATGAAGAGAATGCAATGGACGCTGTCAGCATCGCGAGCGGAGGAGCATCATCCAATTCGAGTGTAGTAAGCGGTGTGACTGGTCAAACAACAACGTTAGATCCATCAAACTCTTCTCTTTCGACATCAATTCCATCTAATAATACTCGACCCAAACCAGACTTGACGATAAACACTCACCTGAAACCACAACGGTCATTCTCGCGCAAGTCATCTATGCAAGATGATCCATCAGCAAGCTTACAGGTGAAGCCAACCCAAAAGAGACGTCCATCATTACTATTACTAAAACAGAGGCAACGAAAGCAATCTGTCAGTTATTCTCAGGATACATCGTCCGCTTCAGTTACTCCGACTACTTCAACTGCCATACCATCAACCGCTACATCTATTTCATCGCGTAGATCGACACGGGCAGATAATTCACCTGTAATGTTTGATTATGAACAACCGCAACAGGAAGAAGATGACGATGATGAGTTTGAGTTAAACAGCCAAGGAAGACCGAACGATGTTTGCGGGAATGAGTTTGATGCATTTTTGTATAAAGGCGTATCGTTCTTGGGCGATGTGAATCAAAAACTGTCATCTGCATCCACACCTAATTCAGCTGGATTGAGGCTGTCGGGCGACGTCAGTGATGATGGGAAAGGAAAATAAAAACGTGATATTGGGGGGAGAGTGGGGGGACGGATAGTAGTGTAGTTAAAAAAAACAACTATTGGGGGGGGGGGGGGGTATTTATTTATATGGGGACCTAACTCATACAATTGGTCCTTTGCGTGTAAATGTGTTTAAAATGACATTGATAATTCAGTGCTTCTTTGTACAAGTATAATATGCAATTGGAGATTTCACCATAGATGCTCTCTGTAATATATATATACATATAAAGTCTTGTGCAATCACCTCTCGAAAATGTTCAAAGGTATCAAATTTAAGTATATTCAGGTTATATAGATACTCTTTTTTGGTATGATGGCCGCATTTGTACAGTAATGGGTTTGTCATAAAGGTGGTAGGCGTGTAGACATTTTTCCTTTCAAGTACGCTTTTTTTTCATTTTATCATATACTTGCATTCAAACCATTCAAATCTTTCTTGATCATACGAGCCGAACGTCTCGACTTTTCAAGCATGCTCATTCCGCTGTTATATTCATATTCATTGCTATGCTCTGACGAGCGGAGGTTTTCTTCGGATGATGATTATATCCTAATACGTCCTGTGAATTAGTCCCAAAAAAGAAACAAACAAACCATTTCTGTAACGTATTGTGATTACTATTACGATAACTTCAACTTCTTTAATGTGATGGAAATTCCTTTTTCTATTACATCATGAATTTCTGATTTTTATCTCTTCTTTGCCTTTGCAATCTTTTCTACTTTTTACTTTATATGAACAATAATTATGTCCTTACAACCCTTTCTCGCTTGTTGTTATTGTATTAAGTCTCTAATAGTATTTTTGCTGGCTGACCTCCGTTCTCTGTTTGTCTCATTCTTATCATCGCTGCTGTTTGGCCGGTTCTTCTTGCCCCGCTTTCCGTTCTTACTATAAATTTTAAATGACATTTCCATATCACCAGTAGGAGAACCACTAATCTGATGGATAGAATCATCATCGTCAACAGCCGTATCGGCTTGTTTAGTTGATGTTTCGTTGGGTTTATACAGTGATACTGCCTCATCAGTCTAAAATAAATGAAATCATGTTAACAGGAATGAAAAAAAAGTATATATTTGGATTTTATCATCGATGTGTATATACTCAGTACTTACAGTTAGCTCAGTCATCTGAATCGCTCTACGTTTTTGTGGAGGTTGCTGCGCTTGCGTTTGCTTTTGTCTTGGTTTTTGGGTCTGTCTCTGTTTCTTTAAAGTCTCACTTTGCTTTATTATAGGTGACTCGTCTGAACGATGAAACGGCAAAAAGTTTGTGAAACCGAGAATAACAAGGTATAATAAATTGTAGGGAATACCCCTCAACAATATATCCTATCCTTACCCTTATCGTCCTCGTCACTATCACTGGATGAAGACATTAAACTAGAGGAACCACTAGGTTCACTATCGGTTTCTTGCGCATCATTGACCTCACCCTCGTCTTCTTCGTCGCTATCTTTCCTCTTTCGCTATGTGATCATCGTAATTCGTAGACATTAGCAACAATAATTTGACAAATGATAGCTGGCACATATGACCGAGTTTACTTACAGATACGTTTGGATGTAACTTCTTGAACTCTTCATCATTTTCGTCAACTTGATATTCAGGATTGGTAAATAGCTCGAGAAAACGTGGATCTTCTAATGCGGTATTAGTTGGCTATGAGAGTAGGGTTAGTGATGGATAATTTGAGAGGTGCAAAAGTCTTTGCGGAAGACCAATACAAAGTTCAACGTTGTTGTAAACAGTCAATAGCTCTTACCTTTACCCCATTTGACTTCTTTGTTTTAGCCTCGAGTAATCTGCTAGCAAGTTCCTTGTTAACTTTTGGCAGTTTCTTCGTCGCTCTGATTCGAGATTCTCTTGCCTTCTCTAATTTCTCTCTTAATGTTCTTTCGCGATATTCCTCGTACAAGAATGGGTTTGCAATTGCTCTAGCCTAAAAAAAACCCAGCAGGTTTGTATTAAGGTTACGTATGAAAATGATATCATGCAAGCTATAATAAATCGGATCATACCTTCTCATATAACCGTAAGTCAATAAAAAAGCCATGCATATACGGTCGTAAGATGTTTGTTCCTACTTGGCCATCCAGTCCCAAACTATTGTCGAAATAAAGTAGTCAAAATACAGTATCATCGTGCAACCAGTCTCTGAATTGTTGTCGTACCTTATTAATTCCTTGCGAGTGATAAATTTGTAATTTTCATATACCGTTGGTGTAGTATTTTCTTCAAGTTCCTCCTACATAATAATAGATCGAACGTGGCTGTTAGATATGTCATCTTGCTTTGCACGTATCGTGACTGTGAGTTGTCATAGATTAATAATCGTTACAACAGACTTTCATTGTACATTTTTACATTTCCAATCCCCACCACTGTTACAAACTACTCGGTGTATCTTACCGTCAAGTTGTCAAGGAAGCTACACCATCTTGGCGCCGGTCCTAGACTTGGAACATAATATGCCCCTATTTGTATCCCTTCATTAGCAACAAATATCAATCCAGATTCGGGTATGACGCAGAAGTCATTAATATCTGTTAGTGGTTCTATTGCCGTGTACGCAGAACCCTAGTATGTTTGTAAGTAGACAGGGAAAAAGTGAGCAGTTAATAATATTAAGGTTTAGCAGTTAGTGTAATTAAAAAAATAAACCATGCGTCATACAGCATTCTCACGATAGACATCTGATATATACATTCTCCTTATTCCAAATCTTGATAATTTTACAATCAGCACTTCCAACTTTCCCGTCAGCCTCGCCTTCAAACCAATGTATCCTTTTAATTGGATATCCATATTGATGATCTTTAATCAACCATGGCCGAGAACTCCTTAAATCATAAAGCAACACATGCCCAGTTGAAGTGCCAACCCCAAATGAAAGTCCATCGTTTCTATATTCAAACGCTGTTATACTACAATCAGCGACATGCACCGACATAATCCCTATCCTGGATCTAGATCTAGGGTCCCAGAATTCCATTAGACCGTTATCGGAACCAAATGCGTATAGCTGATGGGCAGGATTTATAGATACGACATTGTTTCCCACAGAAGTTGTATCGAAAGGAGAGAGGAAACGGCCTTGAGTCAGGTTTAACCTGTATATTTGGGAACTACTTGCGGATATGAGCAGATCACACGTCGGATAATGATACGCCATATCTCTTCCGAACTAGTGTAGTAAGAATCAATAATACGTTACGATTCTATTATCGACAACCAGCTGTTGGATTATATTAACATCATAAACGCGTGACATCTATTATCTTACCCACTTTAGGTATTCGCGTTTTATAGTGGATGCCTCCTTGGGCATGGAATTCTATTGTTCGATCCGTCTGCAAATGCACGGATTTAGTCCAATCATCGGATAGAATCTATAATTTAATTCAATATCGAAGGAAAAGACCAACTAATGTTAATTCACAAGCAACGACAACAAGTCAGTCACCTTTGCGTGGACAAACTCACTTCAAACGTTATATTTTCTGAATCAGTATGTCTATCAAATTTCATTGACACTTCCGAATATTCGAACACTCGTATTTGTGGTTTATACACGCCTGAACAAGAAAACAGGAACATGGTCTCAACTCTAAATACATCCGCACATTTGGTATTATTCTAGTTCAATTCTCAAAGCCTTACCAGTTGCCATACAAAATCGTCCATCGCGCGTTGTTTTTACTTTTATCGACGCCTCGGGAAACTCGAAATCTTGAATTAATTCGATCCTTGTTCGCCATTCTGGTGTAATTGCAATAACGTAAGTCTCGACCTTCGCTCTCTGCTGTGTTTGGTATTTAGCATAGCATATTGTTATTACCTGGATCGTTATTTAAAGCCTTTTTCTTACGTCTGGCAAGCCAATCTGGAACAGAACGTGACCCAGATCCATTGATAGTATATATTTTTACATTATTCGGATTTAAAACTTGGAGAGGCATTTTTCCTTTTGAATTGATGGTTTTTTTCCTCTCTTGAATTTATTGCAGGTTGACGTGACCAATAGATCATCAAACAACATCTCCCCGTGAAAATCATTTGACTTCTACGTCGGTTACGGTTATTGATCATCACTTTGAAGATTAATTCGGAATATAATTTAACCCCACTGGATTTGTAATAACTCGATGCAAATACTAATATAGTAATTGTTTTCTTTTGCAGGGAGTTACTTTACTATTGGAAAGAAAAATTGTAACAATGACTTTAATTTACGTAACATTCACCCAATCGGGCCTGGTGGGAAATGGGAAAATCATTTATGGAGGAGGGTTTGACCGTATTAGTATGACGAGCTGTGCCAAGTTGTTGCTGGTCAACAAACAAGATCTTTACTTTCGTAATTCATTCTTAACAATACAACTAGTAGAGTCTATTACTGCAAGTATTAAAATTTCAACTGAGGCATTGTCGAATTTCGTCTTTATTCCTGTACCAAGATGGGTGACATACATGAGCAAGCAGCCATTATAATAGAAGACCTTGGAATGCAGGAAATTGGAAAACAGCAATACCTCCCCTCGCCTTCTGCTTCGTCCGCTGTGATAGCCTTGCCGGTCAAGGGTATGAGCTGTATGTCATGCGTAAATTCAATAACCAATGCTCTAAAGGCTACGCCTGGTATTAACAACATAACTGTGAGTTTGAAAGACGAAAATGCAACTGTCGAATATGATCCATCTCGTCTGACGGTGAATAAAATAGCAGAGATAATTGAGGACTGTGGATTCGATGTACCGATGCATGCTGCTAATACAGATCCAGTCAAGACAATAACGTTACCTGTTACTGGGATGACTTGTCAGTCATGTGTCAAGTCTATTACCAATTCACTTTCACTTCATGAAGGAATAAGAACTGTCAACGTCAGTTTGGAAAACGAAAATGCGACTATCGAATATGATGAAACAACTATCAGCAAAAATGAAATTATTCAGATAATCGAAGACTGCGGATTTGAAGTCAATAAGCCATCGACAGCCATAGCATTTGCAACTAAATCGCTTGCATCGCCTGGTGATGCTACATTTACGACTGTCACATTGAAGAGCCCCAACCATTTTAGAAGATCGTTTAGCGAGCAACCTTTTACTAAATCTGAATTGGCGTCTGCAGACGGAGATATCAAAATAGGACAACTAAGAATACAAGGAATGACTTGTGCCTCATGTGTGAGTAGTATAGAAAAAGCGCTTAGACCAACTCTAGGTATACGCTCAATAAAAGTATCGTTATTAGCCGAGAGAGCGACTGTTGAGTATGATTCAATTGTGCTGAGTGAGCAAAAAATCGCAGATTTGATCGATGCGATCGGATTTACGGCCACTCCTATTAAACAACAAAAAGAAGATACTGTGGACTTGACCATATTCGGGATGAACATTGAAGCTGACGTGACTGGAATCAGAAGAGAACTGTTCAAGATAGACGGAATTATCAGCGCATCGATCGATTTACCGACCGGAAAAGCATCCATTCAATATGATAAAGAAACGCTTGGAATAAGAGATATAGTTACTGCTATTGAAGGATTAGGTTTCAACGCACTTATCACTGACGACAGTCATAACGTACAGTTGGAATCTCTAAATCGCACAAGAGAAATTAAAGAGTGGAAAGAAGCTTTTCACACAAGCCTTATATTTGCTGTCCCAGTATTTATTATTTGCATGATATTACCCGAATTTGAATGGGGGGCACGGCTAACGAACATCAAATTAATACCCGGAATATACAGCGGAGATCTCGTTTCTCTCATATTGACAATTCCTGTTCAATTTGGAGTAGGAAAAAGATTCTATATTTCTTCATACAAAGCCCTACAACACGGAAGTGCTACTATGGATGTGTTAATTGCGTTGAGTACGACATGTGCATTTATCTTTAGTTGCCTGGCCATGCTCTATGCTCTTTGTGCACCGCAGAATGACAAACCATCCACTGTCTTTGATACTTCGACCATGATAATAACATTTGTTACCTTTGGAAGATATTTGGAGAACATGGCAAAGGGCAAAACATCCGCCGCTCTTTCTAAGCTAATGTCACTCACGCCCTCGACAACGACAATTATAACCAGAGACAGTAAAACAGGAGAAGTGACATCAGAGAAGCGTATCCCAACCGAGTTAATACAAGTTGGAGACATTATAAAGATAATTCCCGGAGATAAAATACCAGCTGATGGAACGATAATATCAGGTAATTCTATTGTGGATGAGTCGATGGTCACTGGTGAGGCTGTTCCAATACAGAGACAAAAAGGAGAAGCAGTTCTAGGAGGCACCGTCAATACACTGGGTACATTTGAAATGAAAGTTTCTAGAGCAGGGAAGGACACGGCTCTATCTCAAATTGTGAAATTAGTGGAAGAAGCTCAGACGTCGAAAGCTCCAATCCAAGCAGTAGCGGATGCAGTCGCCGGATACTTTGTTCCCATAGTTATAGCCTTGGGTTTGTTGACATTTGTAACATGGATGATATTGTCGCAGATATTGGATCCACTTCCCATGATCTTTAGCCATGATAAAAGTTATTTAATGGTGTGTCTACAATTGTGTATATCAGTGATAGTGGTGGCATGTCCGTGTGCGTTAGGATTGAGTACACCTACCGCAGTGATGGTCGGTACCGGCGTCGGGGCAGAAAATGGGATTTTAATTAAAGGAGGCGGTCCATTGGAACTTAGTCAAAAGGTTACCGATTTGGTATTTGATAAGACAGGAACACTAACAAAGGGCCAGTTGGATGTTGCAGATTATGTATTGATGTCAGACTCTATCCAATTAACAAAGGAAACTTTTTTTGCTATTGTCGGTGCGGCTGAGTCCTCTAGTGAACATCCTTTAGGTAGAGCTATCGTCGAGTATGGAAAAACGCTCTTGGGGATAAGTTTTTACGATGCCGATGTGTCGAACTTCGAGGCAGTTAGCGGAATGGGTATTCAGTGTGACGTAGTGCTCAATCCATCTACTATTCCCATGCATAATCAATTTCCAAACAAGCCGGGCGCTAATACATCATCATATAATGTGCTAGTTGGTAACAGGAAGTTTCTGAAAGAACATCATCAGATAAACATTCCTGTTTCAGTCATTGATATTGAAGAGTCACATGAGAGACAAGGCCGCACAACTGTCCTAGTTGCCATTAATAACTCGTTCATCGGCATGATATTTTTATCGGATACCATTAAACCAGAAGCTTTCATTACAGTAGCAGCTCTGCAAAAAATGGGAATATCAGTTTCCATGGTAACCGGGGACCAGGAATTGACAGCGCAGGCGATCGCATCTCAGTGTGGCATTACTCAGGTACATGCAGGTGTGTCTCCTAATGGCAAAAAATTGATAATTCAATCACTTCAGAAGCAGAGTGCAAAAGGCAATATAGTTGCAATGATCGGAGATGGCATCAACGATTCGCCTGCTTTAGCTGCAGCAGATATTGGAATAGCTTTATGTTCAGGAACAGACATAGCAATGGAAGCAGCGGATATGGTCCTTATGCGAAACGATCTCTTGGACGTTGTCGCAGCCCTTGACCTATCACGGACCATATTTCGTCGTATACGTATGAACTTCGTCTGGGCTTCTTTATATAATGTTCTGATGATACCATTAGCTATGGGAATTTTCATTCCGTGGGGATTGCATTTACATCCAATGATGGCGGGAGCAGCAATGGCGGCGAGCAGTGTGAGCGTAGTGTGTAGTAGCTTAATGTTGAAATGGTGGAGAAAGCCAATATGGGAGGAAAACAAAGTGACCGGAACGGTGGAGAGGGTGAAAACGAAACATATACTTTTGGAGGCGTTGGATTGGTGGGGGAAGAAGCGTGGTTATAATAGATTGCCGCAGGATAATATTGACCTCGTGTGAACGAAAAGGATGTGTTAGTGCATTTCCATCATAGTCATTCTGAATGGAGCAATACTCTCAACACGTTTCTTGCTAATTGTAAAGTTTTTCGGACAATCATTACTTATTAAAATCAACCCACTAACATTAAATTTTGGTTTGCTTGGAATTCCTGTCATAAGACTCGACCCTTAATAGCTATTCCTATATGATTGGGCCAACTGGTTGTATGTTGTTAAGTACTGCATTTTGTACACGCTCATGTTATTGTTTCTGTCTGTACTGTAAAAGAACGGGAAAACGTGTAATTAATTAGCAAAATAATGAAACCATAAATCTTTAGTTAAACATGTATATTTTTGTTGACATTGACCCTTGGTGTGAAATAATTTTACTGATTCCAGACTGTTGTAAAATGTCTTGTTATAGGCATGATTGTGTGGTTTTGGATCCGGGAAGAGGTTGCTCGTCGAACAATATTATCCTAAGCCAAAAATGATGTCATTATAATGTCCATAAATACTAATGATAAAAGTTAATTTCTTACTTTAAAGAAGAATAATGCTTCAAGTCCACTTCAGACACGCTTAATATTTGACAGTTGTGCAAGAAAGCTGAAACGAGGCCAAAGGAGAGACCATTACATCAAAAAGTCAAACATGTAAAAATAATTCAATTTTTCGTAAGCATAAATTCTATTATTTCGCGCTCTTGAAATATAAATAATACAAGAGTGATACTATCAATAATACTATCACTATTATCTATTCTTCATCTGAGTGGTTTACGTTTTCCTTCTTTTCTTCGTCGATCCAACGTTGGATTACTTTTTCTGCGGGGTTGTTTTTCGAAGATAAAAATTTCTTATTGTAAATGTGGCAATGGCTATCGAGCAACTCATGAATTTCAAACGCCATTTTGTTAAATGAAAATTTTGGATCTTTTGTCGTATAATTGTATCAGGCCATTCCACAAGTAAACTTTGTTCGCCCCCGACAGTTTTGTAATTGATCGTAACTTCATTTGAATTAAAGCTCCCGTATTATTAGGCCGAAATTACAAAGTATGCCCATTTAGAAACAGACCGAGAACGAAGCCAATAAATATTCCAACAAATAATTCGCTGCATTGTTGTATTGTTGCTGGTAGAAATTGACCGAATTGTTTTATTATTTTTAATGTATTGTTTTAATGATATTTATTTCGTTGTGCTTGCAAGTTAACTAGTGCTGTTTTTATAATACACTGCATGATCATTAGACAAGCGCGCAGTTCCCATAATACGTCATTGATTACATTCAGTATATAAACGTCGCATGTGAGTCATCTTTCTGCAGATTGAAAAAGATCTTGGGATAAGTGGGGGGAAGGCCATTCTCATTTCCCTTTATGCAAAAATGGGAGAGCTGCAAAAGCAGCAAACTTTACTCCTTGGGCAGACAGGTAACAACTTTGTGACTCGGCGTTGGGGATATAGAGTAGTGTGTACATGGGGTAGTGTTTCCTTTTTCCTTTCTCATATCACAACTTATTGGATAATGTTACTGTAGCTGAAGTTAACTTTATAATACGTACATTCTTATCTTATTATCTTTATGTTTTGTTGTTTTAAGTCCCTGGAGCGTCCTCTTCCCTCAATGAAGATGTAATTACCATGATAAAAACAATACAGCAGCAGCTGACGCAGTTAACAGAAGAAAGGATTGAGACTGTCACCTTTTCATCAGTTGGTTTAGAGAAATTTACTACTATTCTTAGTCGACCCGGACTGACTATAAAATCTATACCTCGTTTGCGGAAGGATACTGTAGCTGCCGTCTAATTATGCTTGTCGAGGCAATAGTCACGGGAGAGCGGGATCTAGCTGCGCCGTCGTAGGACTCAACGATAGCTAAATCGTAACAAACAGTTAGTGACCTTTAAACTAGGCTTTTCAATGCTTGGCGTATTCTTATACGTGTTGCACAAACTAATCCTATGTAGTTAACTATTCTCGAGAAACAAAACTACTCTCTACCGGTGGATTAGTTCGGTAGTCTGTAGGTCGGGGTCTTAACTAGCAAATGACGCGTTGAGAAATAATAATTAACTATCCTAATGCCACTCGATCGATCACGAGACAAGTATTACGGAATATCCAGGGAAAGAATTATCGTTTCAGAGTAAGTGGATACTCGTTTATTAATAAGAAATAAAGGAAATCGAACGTCTTCGATAGGAATAAATGTTTGATCTTTAAATACTGCGAACACCCAATTCGAACACACCGATGCTAAGTCTATCCTGCGCTGCGTTTATATCTTTCGGACTGACTAATTAATCTATTTTTAGCATCGGATAAAATCTATTAGCTAATTAATAATTATTCTCTAAATTTATCACTACTCTCTCTCTACTATGTACTCTGCTGCTATCTAGCGCTTCCGTTCGGCGCTTCCGTCCGGCGCGACCGCTTCTGGTGCAACCATTATTCTTATACCACCGTTACAATTTCCATCCTTGAGATTCTGGTGGCACTAGCGGTTTTCACAGAAATTTAGGAGGAATACGTCACCTATACGCTTGTGTCATCACATGCTGAAAATTTTTCAGAACGGGAACAGATCATCGAATACTTCAACACACACATCTTAAACCACTACTTCCCAAACGTGTTATAATTTATGATGTTTCCAACAAAAAGGATTTCCTTAGTTTGACTGACCATCCGCTATTTTCATGTAATGTCTGAGGAGGGACTGATCTAATCTTGGCAGAAGAAAGTGCAGTGCGAGGCAAAATGATCAAAGCCGGGATTCGGGTAATTATAGAATTAAGGAAAGAAGTGAAAGATCGTGATACCGCACAAGTCATTTTGCAAATGATTTCAGCAGACATTATGATTCATGATGGAATTAAAGTCTTTGGTGTTCTGACAGACTTGAATAGCACGTGGAACATTTATTATTATTGGATAGAGGATAAGCAAATTCTGACTATCACACTGTCCAACCGTAAAAAAGCATTGGAGATAATTAGTAAGATGTCAACTGACAATAATGGCAATTCTGTGGATGTGAAAGTATCTGGTTTGCCCAAAAATACAATGTACGAAGATTAAGTACATTCTCCAAGCTGACTCTAATGCTAATGATGATCTAGAACCAATGAAAGATGTATATGATCAGATGGATGAAGATGAGATACACAGACACAAACTATACAGTATCTTTAAATTGCTTAAATATAATCCACTATTTTCAAACATGTATGCTAAGCCTCAATATCCGCCTCAGCAGAAGGATTATGCTTAATTATAATTACAAACTGACATAAGATTTAGAATTTACTATCCCTGATTTCTTGAATCAGTTTCCGAGAGAAAAGTTTGCTGAATTATGTGAGGCGTTTCAAGCTCTTTCTAGATTCGAACAAGATATTTTTTAATGGTCCAACTGAAAGCAATGAACAGTGGAGAAATAACTGCCAGTCGACATCTTAAAAAAAACGCGTACTAATAAGAAAACTTTTTATTATTGAGATCGCAATACACCTCTTTGTCAGAAATGTATCTTGGCCGCGCTCATTTGGAAAACGTCAGAAATTATCTAGCCATATGATATAATATAATACTGTGCATTCATGGTAAAGTAAAAGAAGTGCCGGGATGGAAAACCGAATAACCATCGAAATAACCATTGCTATCACCGTAAAGAATTTTCTGAAAACTATCATGGGGGTTACTGGTAGAAATGTTAATCACATTACTCAATTGCTTACATTATTGCCTGCCAAAACGATTTATAAATCAGTCTATCGTGATTTATTGCAGGTTTCGAAAACGATAGCACGTTGAAATTACTAAAATATGATGCATTTCGCAAGTTATGGCACCTTATATTCAATTTATGAGTCCGCCAACATCGGCGTATATTCGATCACATCGCGCAGCACATCTTCGCCATGGAAGACTTTAGGAAACTTCACCCAAATTCACAAACTCAGGAAAACCTTGACAGTCCGTTGGAACTCGAGCAGAAGAGGTTGGAGTTGGAGAAGCTCCGCCTCCAGCAAGGTTCTGCAGGTAACGACTTTGTGACTCGGCGTTGGGTACATATTAATATAGTGATATGGCTTTCTTACAGTGCGAGAACATTATTATATGCATTTCTATTATTTTGAATGTGTTGTCTTTGAAAAGCGTCCAAATTGACTGCTCAAGCTGCAGTAACGTTGAAAAGACGATATACGAAAGATGAGGGTAAGAAATAGTTGGTTTTTGTTTTGTTTTGTTTTCGCACGATTAATTTTTATTTTGTCATATTTCAATGTGCGCCTTGTCAAGTTGTGTCCAGCTCCGAATGCCAGCAAGAAGAGAATGTTTTTCGCGAGTCAGGAGGAAAATATCATTTTGAATAGCCGCCCAACGAATTGCCAAGGCCCTTTATCAAGGCGTGTTCTCCCAATTCTCAATGACGAAACTCTCGAAGTAACAGCTGAAGACCATGAGTGGACGAGAGAATTTCTCAATCTCATGGCCACTAGCTATTCTGAGAGTCCTGTCATTGAACCTCTCACGGACTTCATCCAGCTGGTACCTACGTCCGACAGGCACAAACTCCTTCGCATTGCGCGGCTGTTCATTGCTCTGCGCCTTGCTGATAAACATTTAGATGACTTTTATAAGACGTTGGTCCAAGTACCAGACACTGAACAATACAGATGCCAATGATTTTACCCACATCCTCGACAATACATCTCAGGAAAATGGTCCTGTGCAGTTCAACTATGAAAGCTGGTTAACAGATGACCAGGAAAAACTCGTGTTCAAAGCAAAAGCTGGTGACACTCCGCTTGTTGTCAAGTTTACACAGAGATATAATGCGCTTGTGTGCCGGCAGTGGGCATGCACCAAAGCTACTTTATGTCGGTGAGAATGAAGTCAAAGGATGGAAAATGATTATAATGGAATATATTGATGGTCCGACACTTTATACGGCGCAACTTGATCGAGAAGCTCATAACGCTGTTCTGGTCAATGTTAAAAGAAACTACATGAGCAAGATATTGTCTTTGGCGATCTTTGCTGTACGAACATTATAATTAACGACCGTGCGATGCTGGTGGACTTCGATTGGGCCGGTAACCATCACAAGGATTGCTATCCATATGTAATAAACCCAGAAATCAAGTGGGCACCGGGAGTTAAAGGAATACAAAGCTCATGACATATACTTATTGGAAGTCCTATTCCCGAAGATTTAGAGACACAGATTTAGATATTTGAACAATCAGTTTTATAGAATATGTTGTATAAATTAGTGTTGCTTGTTAAGTCCTCGCAATAAAATACCAAATTGGTTACTGTCATGAAATATTCCTGTGTGATATTTATGTATTAGTATTATTTAACTATCATTACCCAGTTACTGCATTTGCTGTTAAGTATGTGCATACAGCGGCTTTTCAGTGAATGGTTCATACAGTGTTAAAGCTAACGAATTTTGCGATCTACAAGATGCATTTGCTAATAACACGTCTCAATTTATTCATTGTGTCTCTTTTACCCTGTCGCATAGAAGAATGGTAGTGAAAAAAGGGTTTGTGATGTTTCGAATAACCATACATTTGTCAGTTACAATTAAAAAATATACAGTCTCTAATGGACCATAAACTAATCGTTGTTATTAATTATCACGAATACCCATTCATCAGAATCAATTGATAACATTGCTAACATATCCTGTATTTTTTACTTCGTTTTTAGTATAGGTTCTGATTCTTAGTAAATTTTTTTGGAGCAGACAATTTTTTAAATTCGATTAAAAAGCAGGTCACTCAGCATCACGCATGATTTTTAACATAAGCAAAAGTACATTGCTGATACAATCGTAAAAATAACAAAGTAGTAAAAATTAATATATAGGACTATCTGTGTATGTTAAATAACGAATATAGCGCTTAAACCGAATATGAAAAACAATACGTTCTTTGGAGATAGGTTGCAAATGTAATTGCTCGAAAATGATACCGAGAGAAAGGTTTGCCGAGTTACGTGAGGCATTTCAAGTTCTCTCTAAATCCGAACAAGATATATTTTTAATGGCCCCAGCTGAAAGCAATGAATGGTGGAGAAATAACTGCCAGCCGACGTCTTAAAAAGAAAACGCGTACTAATAAGCGTACGTTTACTTCTTATCTCGTGGAGATTTTCGTGACATTACGATTTTTATTTGCTATTGTAAGACATAACATTTGAACATAATAATAGGCTTGCGAATTAATAGTTAACCGCTTAGGGTTAGTAAAGCCTAATTGTCCAATAAAAACTAAATCCAGTATGTACGACATAAAATTGGAGTTGACGATCTTGCTGTTGATTCAAGTCGAATACAATGTCGAAACTTTCTAAACTGCCTAAAGCACGAGACATTATGAAAATGTACGGAATACGCGCACAGGAAAACCTCAGTCAAAATTTTATATTTGATAAGAATGTAACTGGTATTTGATAAGCGTTCGGCATGGTCATTGGATTGCCCGAATAACTATTTCACTAGTAATGATAACGATTCTGTTATTGCAGATAAAATAGTTTCAAAGGCTGGTATCAAACAGAATGACTCTTTGGTTGTTGAAGTCGGGCCGGGTAATGTTAATTACACAAAAAGTTATGCAAGAAAATAAAGACTAGTTAATCACAGTTGTTATTCATTATATTTATAGGTCCTGGTATTCTCACTCGTTCTATAATAGACACTGGAGTCAAAAATGTCGTTGCAGTAGAAAAAGATAAGAGATTTATGAGCAGTCTATCTGTATGACATACCAATATATACATTATCTTGAGTTTATAAAACCGATCAGATATACACTGACTTGATCCGATCAGCTGCTGTCAAAAGAGAGTGATGATGTCTTGAAAGTAGGTACTAATACGATGATGAAATTTTCTACTTTATCTGCAGCATTAGTATTAATGAATTTTCCTCTCAACAATAGGTCCTTGAAGGTGATATATTGACCACAGACCATAAACAATTTCTTCAATATCTGAAAGAAGCCGATCAAGAAGGTAGAATGTTATCATGCTAGAGTCCATATCACAGCTTATGTTTTTATTCATCCATTATTCTGGATCACACCACAGCTATCCATTTGATTGGCAATCTTCCATTCAACATAGCAACTCCGCTACTTATGCAATGGCTATCAATGGCATCTAAAAAGTCGGGAATTTTTAGCAAACCAAATATTACCATGACCTTGATGTTTCAAATGGAAGTTGCAGACGTAAGCTATCTAGATCAGCATTGGAATGCTGGCATTATGGTGTGCTATGCGTCACGTTATACATACCTCACGCTTTTTGTACTTCCTATTACTATAGAGAATAGTAGCAGCCAAATCAACGCCATCCAGATGCAGACTGTCAGTAATGGTGCAGAGTGTATGCGAGGCAAAGAGAGTTTATCAAGTGCCAAGCAAAGTGTTTATTCCGAAACCAGATGTAAGTCCATTAAGATGAGTGTGCATGACGAATCCATGCTTTAATCTGATTCCCTATTTTCCCTTCATAACACAGATAAATGCTGCTGTGGTCAGTTTGAAACCGTTGACAGAACCAATGTTGCAATGTAAGGAACCATAAACATATGCTTTTGACTATAAAAAAGTTGGATAGATATTTATACGGGACAACTATCAAGCAATTAATATGGTTATTTGTATACATCAGCTCCAATAGAATCGCTTGAACAAGTATCCCGATACTTTTTCAACCAGAAAAGGAAAACCGTTCGAGCAACCTTCAAGTCAGTTATATGCTTACATCAATTGAATGCTTGCATTTAATTTAGTACTGACACTCTTCTATTTCCTGATTTACTTTTCTCCCCATCACTTTCTAACACTATCCTACAACTCCAAGAAAACTGCATGACGAGATGCATTCACTTCACAAGCCACTTTTATTAGAGATCCAAGAAAACCTAAATTGGAATGCGTTGATGCGACCACAAGATATTTCCACAGAACAGTTTTGCCAATTGGCAAAGATGTTTCATGAGAAAGGTGTTGTATGCTGAAAACAGTAGTTATGCACACTGAATGAGAATAGAACACGTTTTTCTTGTAATGTGTTCATGAAGAAAAAAATTAAATGTTAGGAAATGTTTTTTAATTGTCTCTTATCTATTTCTTGATGATCAAGTTCGTGACTGCTATGTCATCTAAACCAGTAAGTGGATTAATGGCAATCAAGATATTACGACATTTATAAGAGGCAGATTTAAAAGAGTTAACGGTAAATCGTCATATGCTGCTCTCCCGCCCGACATGTTGTCACCTCAACATGGTGAATGGGGAGACAATTTTTACGGACGGCCATGAACACAGCTTGGTGAATACTGATTTATTTCCAAAGTTGATTAAAGCGTTTATCACACTTGTAGGTGATGATAATAACGGTGATGTCGGCATGATCGGAAGCGGTTTAGTCTTTGTATTGTAAAGTATAATTACAGCAATAATGTTATTAATTATTCTTGTAAGATAATTCATCAGCACCGGCTTACACCAGACTAGTGTGTAAGGCGAAAGATAAGCTTAATGGCAATACTAGCGATTCAGTATCTTATCGACTAACTTACAGTAACGTTACTGTAAATTAACGTGTTCAGTTTTGATAAAACATTTTATACTAAATCAGAACCTGTAAAATTTATACTACCAAAATAAAAGCAATACGCGTACTATCCTAAATGTGTAAACAATGATCGAGAGTAAGAGTAGTTTTTATACTCTGTTACTAATTCTTCTCTGGTATAGTCGTGAGCCGCTATATATATTAGGAAAATCGTCTTGATCCTATCGGTAGAGAGCAGAGTCAAACATTGATGCCTATTGAAATTGTAGTAGAAAAACATAGCATTAATGATTGCTAATTGTTTATCTTTTTTAATAATGACTAGAAAGCCACATTCCGTTCGAGAGTAGCTAATTCTAGAGTCAATTTGTTTGATTCGACATTACAATTCGTTTCACCGCTATTTTTGATAAGGGCGATTTGATTCATTCTAGTATTCAGAACTACGGTCGTCCCCTCGTTTATATCTTTTTGGGATATATTATTACGGACCCCTTGGCTGAATATGTTACGTATCGTTGGTCATTACATCTACCGCGTTTTATAATGCAGTAATGGGTGAGTAACCGAACTTGCAATACTTTAAGATCTATCTAATATGTCAAAATTTAATTATATCAAACATACTGTATCAAGCATATCAAGCATGAGTCTTTTGATGATGGGATTCGAGCTTCTCATATATTTTTACCGTGACGGGAGACAATTAATATTAATGAAATAATCGTATGACTTTTCTAAGAACGAATAATATTCTAAGTTAGTTGTAGCGTTCACACTGTGACTGAAAATCGTCACGAAACGATAATTCTGCGCCTGTGATGGGAAATGCGTATTAGTATAACTACACCTGCTTCAACCCCAACACTCGAATCTTGACCGGCATTTAAAAAATTTCCCCCCAAATCGATATTAATTTCGGTTGGTGCACCACTGATGCACCAGCCAAAATTAATATAAATCATCGAACGTCGATCGGCTTTAAAATTACCCTAAATCAAACGACTTTCTAAGAAACGTTAATATACCTCACTACGTTCTCAAGCGGTTACAAAGTAGAGCGATCTTTCTACGTTCGCGATGTACAGTATGTAAACTATCCTCTAATAGAGCTCTCACTGAACAGCGTTAAGACGGACCGTAAATACAAACTTTCTTCATAATCACCGGTCGTAACCGCTGGTGCAACATTCCTCTCATTTTATGTCACATAATAAATATTCACCTTGTTACATATTAATATATTATTCAGCATGTGTTTGATATTATTAGTGCTGCTTAATTAACGGAATTCATTGCTGTCGCGATTTCTGATGCGATGAGATTATAGAAAAAAGGTTTATTATCAAGTCCCTGTAAAAGTGAAGATGCAATTGGAAAGTTCTCCGTGTCGAACAGTCGTCAGCGCCTACACCGTTCATCTTTACTTAAATAACCATTTATGATGAATTGTTTATAGGCGAAAGATTTTGATTGGATAATCCGTTGATTTCAATCCGCTATACCGAAAAAGCTCTCCCAAGAATCTTCAGCCAGAGGGTATCATGTGACATTAAAACTCGCAAGATTGGGAAGATTTCTCAATCTTAAAAGCGAATTTCGTTACCATGCCATCGAGCTCCACACAACATACGCCCTCGCCTTCTCATCCAACGCAAGATCCCTTCACATCTCCAGGCGGTAGTAGCTCACCAGGTTGTAATCTTGGTCGGATAGTGACGGTTCCTCTTGCAGCTTTGGGTGGCTTTGCAATTGAGATTGGAAAGAAGTTTGGAAAAGCCTTTGATATTAGACAAAAGCGAAGAGAGTAGGGAAAAGAGAAAAGGATTCTGTTGACGTGTTGGATGACGTCCAAAAGCGCACTATTGGAGACATATCTTAGCGCAGTCAAATCCCCCATTATACCGAAGGGGCAGCTATAATTATTAATGAGGAATTCGGTAAAACGAATATTCCCTTCTTTCAATGTTTTTATAATCATGTTTATTTCAAATTAAGTCGGATGAGTAATATTCCAATTTGTAACATCAAGTGGGTTCAACTCTTCTTTTCAATAAACGAAAAGAATTTGATCTCATACACTTTCTTGTTGAATACTATTGTGTAGTCAGACCCCTCGTTAGAAATATATCTGCCAATTGAACCCGAACAGTTAGTTGTTGCTGAAATGTACATTTAACTGTTTGAGTGGTTCGTTGACACTATTCCATGCAGTCTGTTGCTTTTTTGATATCAGACGTTTGGTCGCTTCCTGTAAATCATCGAACTTTTTGCGTAACCATTTCCGACAAACCAGTATTCATAGTAATTAAGTTATAAGTTATTTCTGCATCTAATACTAGATCGGTCGATTACCAAATAATTATCGCGTTGTCAATAACGATAATATGTTTCAGTTGGCAATATGTTTTGTACTTGCTTTGGTCCAGTGATAAAGTTTTGCTACAAACGTGAACTCTGGCGCGTACAAATGTAGACGAATTATCTTTGGCATTAAATGTTACAATTCATTGTATTTTTATTATGGTCAGAGGTATATCATCCAATGTATAAACCATCTACAATATTTTAACGGGTTGATATTTGATTCTGATAATCATTATTTAAATAAATTGGATGAAAGATGAGATTTGCCATTTCCATTATATATAACCAGTTTGAAAACTGATCCATAATAGTGGCTGAGGCTGGTGCATCATATTTGATAAGGTCTAAATTTACTCCTGGTGTATTATTAAAGCAGTAACAGCAGCAGAAACTTTATTTTCTTGTTGAGTTTGCTTGTCAAGGAGACTAAAATTATGTTGTTTTTTCCTAAAGCTTTGATGTTTTAACTATCATCTCCTCCTCTGGTATTTAATCTAATCAGTGCAGCTTGGATGTTTTTATCAGATTCAGCAAATAAAACTGACTAGTGATGTTCTCAATTGGTTTATCACTGCCCAGACCATTAACTAATGGATAAGGAATAGTTTCACCCTTTTGTTATACTAATAAGAGTTAAATAAAACTCTTCCATCAAGAGTTAACCCATAATTCAGCAGCGTTTGAAGTAAAGTTTTACCCAAAGTGTTATTATTATTTGGTTTTAAAGGCCTCTATCAGAATATTTTTTTTCCTCCTCTGGCTTGAGAGGCCCTCATAATAATTTAAATATTCCTTGGCTTCATGTCTGTGTTAATATTATTTTTGTTAAATTTATAATTTTTTTCTTTAATATTAATTAAAAGATGAAAAGATTTAAAACTAACAAAGTAATAAAATTACTGTTTCAATAATAATAAATGAATTTCAGTAAAAGCACCATTAGGTGCCAGCTAAGTCCAGGGTTAGCTACTTCAAAAAAAAAGTGCTGATACTTTTGTAACCCACTCAATTTCTTAAAGAAAATTCCCAACACAGAATTAAGATCCAAATTATTATTATAATTATAAGCTTTTTCATTGTCATAACACTGAGCTTTATTTAATCCTGCTGTACTTGACCTTTTCACAACCTCAACAATATGATTTATGCAATCTACAGTTGTTTCAATAAAGATTGTTAATCAGCCTGAATATATTGTAATTTGTCTGCGACCATATTAATATAGTTGTATAGCTGACTGATTACATTAACTAAATCACCACTTGCATGATCAGTAAAGTTTTCATCAAAGGCAATGTCACGTAACTGTGTCATAACACAATCTCTTTTGATTTCTATGCTTATGATCCTTTTTCCTGTATGATCATCAGGACCATCATACTCTTGGCAAGTGAAATCTGGTTTTCCAAGGCCAATGTTCAGGTCATCGGGATTAAAGTCAGAATCTTTTTGTTTTGAAAACTCAAATGTTGGGGACAAAGGTGAGTTCAATATATGAAAAATATTAACTTCCATAGCAGTTTCAACACTATTTTCGACACGAGCTCTTAAGCCTAATGATGATGATAAAAGAGAGTTCAATGTACAAAAGATATTAAAATCCATAGCAGTTTCAACATTGTATTTGACGCGAGCTCTTATACCTTCAATGAATTGGGGCCTACTAAACTTTCGCTCTGTTTGATTGAAGCTGAAATGAGTTACTTCTTCAAGACATCCATTCCAGTGAATTATTCTTTCTGGCCAGAGACCTCCATTACACATAGAACGTGTCAGAGTACTAGCATCTGGAGGATAATCAATGGTTGGAGGAATACAGGAATAGATGATAGATGCTTTTCCTCATTTAGGAGTTCTTCAAAACAACAAAAAATGAGGAGTGGGTTAGTGGGCCATGAGTAAACTTGTTACTCTCTTCTATGTATGAAAACTATGACTGCTCTACCCTATGCAGCATCATGCACCAACAAAGTCCACTTTAGTATACACTCTAATAAAACTATGTTACAACCAATATTGCTATGTACTCCGTCTACTCTACCCTATGTACACACTACTCTATGTCCCCAACACCCGAGTCACAAAGTCGTTACCTGGTTGAGAAGCTGCTAGCGCGTCACCCCACATCTTTTTTTGTTCTAACCAGAAGCTTATTACCACTAGCTTCCTTTTTTCACCACCTTCCCACTTGATGTCTATTACTTACCTTGGATGATGATGACTTTGAGCAGCATGCTCACTGTAAGACCAAACGTTCTGTCTATGAACCATCTGGCTCCAGATTCTCCTCTTCCCCATGTTTTCAGAGCCTAATATTGTTAGTATCCACTTCACCCAACTGATTAGCCAGCTTCTTCTTGATCTCCTCCTTCAGGTCATCAACATCCCCTTGGACAAACTTGACTTTAACTGGGTCACTCTCACCATACTTGATCCATATGTTGAAAGGAGCCATTGCAAAGATGAAAATGTTCAGAGCTAATCTTAATATTGATATACTAATACTAATACTAATACTAATACTAACACTGATCAGTGGAGAAAGTAGTTTAATTTTTGTAATTCTTTCAGTTTTTTTATCAATAACGTATTACTAGGAACTTTCTAGACCTTTTCACAATGTAACTATTGTTCCCCTACAGGGGGACAAAAGTATTGCACACTTTTGTTTTTATAATATTGGAAAAATTTTATAAGTAATAAAAAACTATTTTTTGGACCACTTACTATATTAATATCACTTGTCCAAATGAAATATTAATGTTTACTTAATATAGCATGTCGTTATGAGCAGAATAAAAACCCCAATTTTCTGCTTTGGCGCATAAATTAGTCTCGTTAAAGAGCTTATTCCTCATAATTCCGATAAATAACTAGCTAGTCAAGTACAGAACAATCCCAAAAATGATAAATAATTAACATACAACACTTGCAGCGGGTTTGCGGTACTTACCACTCTAAATCAGGAAAAACTCCGAAAAATATGATCTGTAAAAGAACAATGCAATGCGCTTTTGCGAAAAGTATACCATAATTCGATATTATTTATGCCCAACTAAAATTAAGTTGTTGTTGCTGCAAATGGGGAAAATACTAAACATTGATGTTCACTTTAAGTAAATAAAGTTTTGGGTGAGGTTGACTAAAAAACTTTTCCAATATCTTAAATACAAAAGCGTGCAATACCCCAATGCGCAGAAATTCGCGTTTGGCTAATAATCGTCCGCAGTGTATGATGAACAAACAGATAGTTTATTATAAAAACAGCACTGGTTAACTTCAGAAATCAACCACAATGCAATAAATATTGTCAAATCAATACATCATTTAAAGCAATAAAACAAATCTGTTAATTTCCACCAACAACGCTGCGAAAAATGCTTACGTTCACAAGCGAAAATTCTTTTTTGGAGTATTTATTGGCTTCGTTCTCGGCCTGTTGCTCAATGGCATAATTTATAATAATCAACTCCGCAAAATGGGACTATTAACCAAGACCATGAAGTCCAGAAAGTTGTCAAAAACGAAACAATCGGCGAACAAAATTTATTCGCCAGATATCGAAACGTTGTGGAA